TTTCTTTCTTTCTTTCTTTCTTTCTTTCTTTCTTTCTTTCTTTCTTTTTCTTTCCTTCCTTCCTTCCTTCCTTCCTTTCTTTCTTTCTTTTTCTTTCCTTCCTTCCTTCCTTTCTTTCTTCCTTTCTTTCTTTCTTTCTTCCTTTCTCTCTCTCCCTTCCTTCCTTCCTTCCTTCCTTCCTTCCTTCCTTCCTTCCTTCCTTCCTTCCTTCCTTCCTTCCTTCCTTCCTCTCTCTCTCTGTTTGGCCTGACAAAGTTTAATCCCTGGAACCCACATGGTGGAAAGAGAAAAGGACTCCCATAGGTTGTACTCTGGTTTCCCCATGCACACATACATACACACAATAATAAATTTTTAAAAATGTAATAAAAGAAAAAAACTTTCAATGTGGTTTGGCCTGGATCTGTATTTCAGTAGAAGAGCACTGGCCTAACACAAATGATGCCCTGGGTTCTACGTGGAGGACGACACAAACCATAAAACCAGTTCTAAGTGACCATGTTTTGCAGTTACCCAAGGTGTAGGAGAAGCATGACTGACAGTCTTTAGAGAACAAATACCCAGGTTCTTGGGTTTCTATACCATCTCACCCTCTCATCCAAATGACAGAAAGCAAGTTGATTGATTGATTGATTTACTTATAGTTTGTCACCTACCTGCTGACATTGATAGTTTATGAGAGTCATTCATTCTTGGCTGAGTTAGATCTAATGACTTAGATTTTCATTGGTGTTTGTTTGCCCTGTGGACCGGGTCCTTGAACTACCTCCTGTGCCTCTGTCTTTGTTGGTTAGTCCTCTCAGGGCCCCGCCACTCCATTAGAGATGGATCTTCTGGATCTCAGGAACTTTGCTTCACCCCAGGGTCCTGAGAATGATGGCAGGAATCTAGGGTGCTTGGCCAATCTGCTTATTGGTTTTCCTGAGTTCACTTGGGTCCAACTTACATGGTGACCTCCTTCCAGAATCTCAAATCTGGAGTAAAGCAGAGACATCCTGCCCTTGAAAGGGCTGCCAAATTGTCAAACTGCCTCTCTCCAGGATTTAGTCTAGAACAGAGAACCTTGGGCCCATGTGTCCCATGTCTTTTCTCAGCTACCTCTACCCACTTTCTCTCTCCATAATACTTTTAAACAAAGGCTTGAAATTTTGAAAACATGGTATGGAAGACATGATGCAAACTGAACTCGACATAGCAGTGGAGGAGAGCTTGTCTATCATTTCAAGGCCCTGAGGTTGACCCCACATTTAAAAATAAACCATAAATATACAGGTTCATATAAAAAGAGAAAGGCCAGAGAGATGACTCATTAATTAAGAGCACTTCCTGCTCTTGCAGAGGACCTGGCTTGGGTTCTCAACACCCACATGGCAGCCCACAATCATCTGTAATTCCAGTTCCAGGAATCTAATAACTTCTCACGGCCTCTGGAAATATCAACACACCCATGGTGTATATATACACGCAAAACATATACAAAAATATATCTTTA